TTTTTTTCTTTTTAATATTTCGTATGTTACTGACTGATATGCACGCTGTGATTGAGTTTCAGAGCGGAGGGAATATAAATTTGCACGGCGCGTACAGACGAAAATCAAATCTAGCCGGTGAATGTTCGCGCGACGGCATTTGTCTGTGTTCGAATGTCACAGCGTAAAAGGTTAACGGAAAATAAAAGTTTCAGATCGTAGGTACAATCCAATGTGAGAGTTAAATAGAACGGCGACAATCTAGTGATATAATCCACGATGTATCACATTAAACAGCACCTCGATATATCATGCATGTTACGTTCAACAGTGTATCTCAATGCTAGAATATTAAATGTAAAAATATCGTTTCGCGGCTTCCAATCCCCTGACTTACCAAATGTGTTTTGTTATTAGGCGGCTGACTCTTCTCGTCCACCTCGAAGATGGACAATACGAAAACCTTTGGATTAGGCTTGTAGAGGGCTGGCTGATCCCTCCTTCTGATCATCTCGAGGAACTTCGCCGGCAGATTTGGGTTCGGATACAGCTCGATATCGCTTGCAAACACGTAGAACGTCGGCGCCGATTCACGGGCTATGTTACGCCCGACGTTCACCGGGTACAGCAACTTCTTCTCGTTTTTATACATCTTTGAAAGCGTGACGTTCACCCACGGTGGTCCCAGCGTGCAGTTATACGTGTCAGACATAACTTTCTCGGTCGGGGGTACCTATTTTAGAAACCAGATTATACCACACGTTATAGCAACACCCTGGGAACTGGACAACTTCATACTTGATAATTTTACAGTTACTTTAACTGATTTGAACGCCGGAGTCCTTGTTACAAAGTAATCTCCGGTCAATCAATATCCTTCAAAATTAATAATAAAAAAGATCATGCAGTGGTGATTTCTTGGTTGAATGTAGCATAATTGATATTTGGTATCTTAGCAATCAATTTGAACAAAAAGTATGTAGCTCATCAGTGGTGGCATTCAGAAATTCTAAATTAGATACATAGTATATAATACGTAACACTTTTGTTTCTAATTTAGTAATTTCTCAGTTGAAGTTAGTGAAATATTGATATATTGATATATAATGTTTTAGTAGCTTTCATCTTTGCCAGTTTACATAACTTTGTTTACCATTTGTACACATTTTGCAAAACTACTTACTTCGTTGATAAATTTTTGAGACTCTGACATACATACATGCATACATATGTAGAATTTTCAGTTCCTTTGATCTAAATACAATTCATTCCATTTCAAGGAAGGACCCTTTTCTCAAAAGATTATTCTGACTGAATCTGGTAGCAAGTTACAGATCCAAAAATGAAACGAATATCCAGCAGCACAAGTGGATGGTGTATTTGGCAAAAGTGAAATGGCTTCCAGACAGGCGGCATGAGAAAACAGATTGGCAAGAGAGGCACTTCCTGCGGCCGTACCTTTCAGGTGGCGAAACTCTGTTATTAATTCCTCTTGTATCGCGACGTAACGTCGATACACGTGCAACGTAATTAATTAGAACGCGAAACCGTGATTGCGATTGCCAGAACACCCCCTCTCTCCCAACCATGAACACAGGCACAAAGGGAGATGCGTGTAGCAATTACACGTGTGAAGGCTCTACTTTGTTTTCAGGACGATTCCTCTTACCATATCGTATTATGCATGCAGAGCGGAAAGAAACAAATAGGCATTCCCTATCGGCCGCTGATTGGCTCTATCGGTTAATTACCACTTTCCCGGCCTTTCATCTTGATTCACTTTTTCCTCTATCCGCTATCTGATACTCAGATTTCATCTTTCTCACTATCATTGCCCACAGGCTCTGAGAAGTCAACAGTACACTTTTGACAAAAGTACACATTCCAGAAGAAATTGAATTTTTCTTTTTTTTCTTTTTGTAGTTCTTTAAATATTTCTAAGGTTTGTTGGAATTTTAATGTAAGCGGTGTTTTAGATTGTTTAAGATATGTACTGTGCTGTGGTATAATATAGTATAGTATAATTATAGAGGATAGGGAATAAATATAAAATTTCTGAAAGCAATTTTTTCCTGAGAGGAATTTGAATCAGTAGATAGTGAATTAGAATTTATAAATTATTATCACTATGTCGTGTACCAGTTTCACTAGCAAAGTAGAGATGACAAGTGACAAAACCAATTTCATAGATAAAAAGAATATTGTAACAATAATTCCAGAATACGTTTCGAAGTGTACATTTTTCTTTTTTTTTTCAAGTTGTTCTTCACTTTGCACACGAAACGTTCCAAGCCAACCAAGTCAATTGCACAATTTCACACGTTCGCACTCCGATCTCTATCTGAGGACCTCAATCGTGAACCGAATCACTATATCGCTACATCTAAAGTCAATAAAACAATATGAAAACAATAACCAAAATAGCGGAAGATGCGCCGATGTCACGCAATGGGAACGCGACCGAACTGAATACACCAGCTCTCATCGATCGACGAGCGTCAACAAGTGACCCGATACCGTCGAAATTCTGCACGGTCAGCGTCGTCTCGTGTTTTCGGAACGTGAGCGATTTCTACATCAAACGTGCCGGGAGTATCTCGCCAATTCCTTTAAAAACCAGCCTCATCTCCAGAATCCTCACAATCATCCTCACAATCTCATCGACGATTTGCCAAAATGCAGTTGAACGCGTGTTTTGTGTTTCTGTTGCTCGGTTTGTCGTTGTCCCGAGCGATTCCAGCGGAGAAGAAAGAAGAGGCGAAGAAAGAATTGAAAAAGAAGGAGCCGGAGATAGAACAGGCCGGCGAAGACACTGACAGGTCTAAAAAGTCGGTATTTTTAATGGACCAATTATCAGGAGTGCCCAGGAGAGCTCAAAGTTTCGGTATTCAAACACCTTCAAATCTACACTCCCTGAACATCAAACAACCTGGAGGCGTCTCTGAGACTATCAGCATCCACAATCCACAAGTTGCTCAGACTCACAATATTCAGGGTCCTAGATCTACTCAAAGATTGAATATCAAGTCAGGATCAGGGATATCTGAGACTATCAACATCCAGAGTCCACAACCGGTTCAGACTTTCAGTATTCAGGGCCCTCAATCTGCTCAAAGATTGAATATCAAGTCAGGATCAGGATTTTCTGAGACTATCAACATCCAGAGTCCACAACCGGTTCAGACTTTCAGTATTCAGGGTCCTCAATCTGCTCAAAGATTGAATATCAAGTCAGGACCAGGATTTTCTGAGACTATCGACATCCAGAGTCCACAACCGGTCCAGACTTTCAGTATTCAGGGCCCTCAATCTGCTCAAAGATTGAATATCAAGTCAGGACCAGGATTTTCTGAGACTATCAACATCCAGAATCCACAACCGGTTCAGACTCTCAGTATTCAGAGCCCTCAATCTGCTCAAAGATTGAATATCAAGTCAGGATCAGGATTTTCTGAGACTATCGACATCCAGAATCCACAACCGGTTCAGACTCTCAGTATTCAAGGCCCTCAGTCTGCTCAGACATTGAACATCAAGTCAGGTCCAGGAGTTTCTGAAACTATTAGCATCCAAGGACCGCAATCTGCTCAAACGCTCAACATCCGAGGTCCGCAACCTGTTCAAACTTTGAGCATTAAGCCAGCGCCAGGACTTTCCGAAACCATTCGTATTCAAGGATCGCCATCCGTTCAAACGTTCAACATCCAGCCAAGTTCTCAGGGACTCCAAACGCTGAGCATTCAAGGCCAACCTCTTCAAACTTTCAGCGTCAAGCCAGGCTCCCAGGTTCAGTCGTTCAGCATTCAAAGTGGCCAATCCGCGAATGTGATCATGGGTCCTCACAACGCCAACGTTCAGGTGATTCATCCTGGCCAAGGTGGTACTCAAACGAATGTGAACATCGTGCAACCGTCGGTGAAGGAGGTCGACGTGCCGGTTGTCGAGAAGATCACTCGAACGGAGAAAATCGTGGAGCCAGGGGTTGTTGTTTCTGAAGTGGAAAAGGAAATTGTCTCTCCTGTGACGTCTGTTTTCAGGGAACAGCTGCTTCTAGATCCGCAATGTTCTTGTTTCGTATTGGCAGAACCAGAGGCTGTGGCAGCTTTCTTCAAGTATCCTCAGCTGAGATTTGGGAAACAGAAGATCTTCTGTTGCGCTTTGAGACCCAAGGTGCTGGTTGAGCAACCCGTGAGGGTTTTGGAAGTTATGGAACGCGCTTTGGTAGGCGCGTAAGAGGACAGTAAATTGAAATTCTTTCCGAGGAGTTTCTGTGCAAGATGGCATAATTTATTTATTGGCTCACTGTGAGTTCTTTGAGAGCGGTTGAAGTGTAGCCACAGAATCATTGTAACTGGAGATAAATAAAGTTGAAAAATGTATCGAGTTTATACCGATTTTTTTGATACTGGAACCTGAATGTCGCTCACTATTACTTATACCTGTGAAATTTTGAGGGAACCTGGCCCAACTCGTAACTACTGAGAAAACTAAAAAAAAAAATTAAAAAAAAAAAAACAAAGAAATCCTAAATTCCTAATTTACTTCGCGAGAGTTGCACTGCTGAAAGACCAACTGCGACAAATCAATTTCAACGCCTTCAAACTTGGGCCAACAGATGCGCAAAAGAGAGGGGAAATGAAAGAAGGGAAGAACGACAAAACGTCGCCATCGTACTCACCACTTTTGGCACGTGTTTGCTGCTGAAGAATACGTGGAAGGTGACCAGCTGGGAGACCAGAGGGCTGCCACAGTTTCTCAAGTACTTGATGGCGTCGAGAGTCGCCGCGAAGTCTATGCCGGGGGCGTGCATTGCAATCGATATCGGCGCCCTCCATCGTTCCAGCAACGGCTCTAGATTGTCGAGGAACGTGTAATCCGCGTGCGTGGTGTACGTCACGCTCTCCCAGCATCTCACCGCCATGCTCATCGGCACGTAATTATAGAGGACCCAGTAATCACCGCGTTGCGCCCTCCTCGGCTCCAGCGGCTTTTCATTGCACGGCACCGCTTCTTTTAGGCTCATCGTCGGTTGAACCACGGGCGTACCACTCCTCGCCTGTAACAGCAATGCCAAAACCTGGTTAATTGGACGGATCCCAAGGTGAGCCGAGATGAGGTTTTCTCAAACCTCGGACGAACGCGAACAATTTTGTCATATCCCGCATATACTTGACACGTTTCAATAATTGAGCAATAAAATGAAACACTGATCATGACGTGCATGTACATTGATCGTGACATCTGTGCGACAATGTTACGTAACGCAGAGAGATTTCTGTTGGAAAGAAGTACTGTACTGCGGAATATAGGGATCCCTAGACGAAACGCTAGGGAATATTTTCCCCTGTATCATCGTGATAACAAACATGATATATAAAACACTCTGTGTAACAGCTGGTAATAAGCTAGTCACACCGATTCACTTTTGTTTTCGATTCTCGATAAAAAGACGTAATACCTCGATACACACGCATACACTTACCTCGCGAGCTTCTACAGTGAATTTTGCGCGTGACATTACCAGCATTCCCCTTTATTACTAAATTATTGTTAGATACAGTTTCTTGCAGCAGTCCTCCATCAGAAAAGGTTGTAGACGGAGATGGTAAAAGCTTTCGCTTCAATTTTGCAAAGTGATAGGGGGAGGAGGGTGAAAGGAGGGCGAGATACACGTTAAAGTTCCCACCCTTTGAAATATTGAACTGCACGGCGGTCGGAGGCGGGCTTCTGAGCCCGGTTTCGCGCGACTTAATTCCTCCACGCTCCTCCAGGAAGCTGTGAAAAGCTTGATTTGCGAAAAAAAGAAAAAAAGAAAGGAAGAAAGAAAAGAGGAACCCCGGCGTAACCTTAAACGCTACTTAAAATGTCGAACAATCGCGGAATTATTCGGACTTTTTTATTTTTTTTTTTTTAACGACGACGTTTGTGTTAGATTTTTCTTTTTGTTAATTATCAATTACAAAACACTGTTTCGATGATCACTGGTGGAAATTTAAAGAGAACGTCAGGAATTAAGTTTGAGAGAAAGATTAATTAAAGGAGGAGATTCAAGGAAGTTTCGTCCCCAGCCATTGTTAACAAAAAAATACAAAAGGAAAATGGAGGAAGTTAAGGTTAAAAAGTAACTGATAAACAACTTTAATGCTTCGAAGGGGGCATTAGATGTCCCCGACAGATTAAACAGTTTCAACGCGGCTGATACGACGATATTGAACTGTTCAGTTGCACGTGAACAGCCTAACAGGTTCGGTACAGTTAAAAACGGTTACATTAGTCGCGGCGTTGTATCTCGGTTCATGAAGGTTATCGTGACTACCGTGCAACATGTAACACGACAATGCAAAAGCGGCCACTTCTGAAACCCGACGTAGTCTCTCTCTCTCTCTCTCTCTCTCTCTCTTTCTCTCAAGACAGATCTTATCCAATGATCAGGATTTTAAACGAGGTCGAGCCACTTTTCATCCAACGACGAGAACGTTTGAAGCGAGTTCGCCTGAATTTTGGATGAAAGTCGATCGTTTCGAGCGGAAAACGCTTCTTCTTCTTCTTCTTCTTCTTCTTCTTCTTCTTCTTTTTTCTCCTTCTTCGCGATAAAATCTGGCGAGATAAGGACCCCAATAGAGAATATCCACAGTGACGGACACTCTGCAATCGAAGAACCCCTTCTGCGCTTGGCTCTTGTTCTTATATATATTATATATATATATATTTTTCAAGCCTATGAGAAATGTAACATCTCGTCCACGGAACTGAAGGAGGTTGTCAAGTTTTTTCTTTCAAGTACTCCATTTTCGACGCTCGTAACATTTTGTATTAGTTATTTTATACACGATACTAGAAAAAAAGGAAGAACAATGTCCAAGTCGATCGTACGTTAAATTTTCCTTCAACAATTCTGTATTCTGTTCAATTTTCTTATGTTCTCCGTTTCTTTTTTTGTTGAAATTACACGTCAAATGTTCCGTGTTTCCTCTATATCTAGGATCAATTCTACATTAAATGTTCCACATTTTCTATCCCGACGACTGGAATTAATCTTCCACGAGCAATAATAATCGCTAAATTTCCCATTTGGCAATTCCAGTCCCTTCAGCTTGCCCGCAATTAATTCCAAAACACTTGGCCGTGCGATCAACTCCGCCGTCGATTAAAATCAATTCACCTCGAGGAAGACGTCGAGGCAACAATGTTAAACCTCACCCCTGAAACGGAGGGCATCGGAGGCAATAGGAGCGACTGGAGGAACGATTAGTCATCGGTGCAAGTCGTTTGATGGAAAGAAAGTTCGATAGAACGGGATTTCTCCCGTCGGTTCTCTGTTTTCTTTTTTTTTCTTTTTGCGCAATTATCGTGGCAAACGCGCGCGATTGTCGCTACTTCCCTGGGATCGGAACGTGATTATCGATCGGAGGCAATCTGTTGGCGGGATCGTGATGGCTAACAAATGGCGCGCGGGGCAGCTGTTCGATCGAAACGGCGATCGGCCCGTGAAATTGGTTATGGTTGACGGTATCAATAACCGAGCTCTGAATAATTCATCGATACTTAATGCTTATTATCCAGTCGAATCGATTTCCACCGATCTGGCACAATCTGGATCTATCTATTTCGTTTTTGTTTCCCCGATTTATTTCAAAACGAGCGGCACAACGTTATTCGTATTTGAGAATTGAATTACTTGAAATATTTAATTCACCCTCGTTCCATTCAAATTTCCCGAACGCGTTCAGTCCGACGGCAGTGTCTCGGGTATAGACGTTCTTGTAAAAGAATGTTATTACGTGGCTAAGTAGCTCCTTTCAGAGTGTTCCCTTTGCCATAATGGATACATTGTTCCACGTTAACACTGCAGCGTTAATTTCACTTACGCTCGATTATCATATAGTCGGGCCATACTTAACACTTGGCCGTGTTGCTTAAGACGTCTACTAATTTCTTTACCGGATACATCTTCACAACAAATACATTCTTGTAACAAGTTTCACATTTTACTAATAAAAAAAAAATGATGATTGAAATTGTTGACAGACTTACTTAAAAGTGTACTCCAATATCGCTCGCAATGATTTTTCTCAGACAGCTGTTTCGACTACTTTCGTCACGACCAAAAAATTCCTCTCTCGCATCCCTCCCTCTAAAAACAAATCAGCTCACCGTCTCGTTACGCCTGTGCCCCGACTTGTCAGCGTTTTCACTATCAGCCTTGGCCTCGTTGATCGTCGGCCTCGTGGTGAGCAATCTGTTCTTGGCTGGACCAGTCGCGTTACCACGCGTGGTAGCCCTGCTAGCGGCATCCTTAGTGGCTGGCACGGCTGACAACGTGGCGCCTTTCTGAGTGCCATTTACGAGGTCCACGGCGCCAAAGGTCTCCGATTGCAACGGCGCCGCCCAATTAGTCGGCGGTTCCTCGATCCAGGGCCCGGAGGAGCCGAAGTGGGCGCACACGTAGAGCAACACGCAGATGTTGAGCACCACCGACACCCGAAGTGCCCAATTTCTACGCAGTATGCTCAACATGCTCATTCTCCAGCCTCCTCCAGGACACCACGAGCCGGTTGCCGCTCCTTATGGTGATCGTGATCAAAACGATTGGATGGACGACGATGCCTTTGCCGCGTACTCGTCCCACCACCGCTCCCCCACCCCTATGGGGCCCGTGATGCTCCGCGATCAGGATCTGAGCATGGTTCCTCGCGGCCTCGACCTCCTCCCTCCGGTTGCCCTCTGAAACACCAGTTAATAACTTTGTCAAGAAATTAAATTTACAATATTGCCTGCTTACAGTAAAATATATTGCATGTATATTATTATTCATTTGCAATAACAATGTATAATGTTTCTTCAATGTTTAATATATAGGGACCATTATGACGAGAAATTAACGTCGTTCATCATTCACTTTTCCGGTATTTTCAATTTTAAAAGTTTGTATTACACTGCTAAGCTACTCGAGCTACTGATTCGAATGGTTTGATTTAATTTTCAAATGAAACGGCGCCAAGAAGATATGATTAACTTTGCTGCCTAGGCTATGTTTTCTATCTTCATCCCTCCCCCGTTTAAAATCCAGCGTGGACCGTGTCGAGCATTTAACGGCCGACGATCAAACAATGAAACCATTGGCGTTGCTTGTCCGTCGCCGTTCATGCGTGACAAATGTGGCAAAAAAAGGTTGGGAAACCCAGCCATTACGCAACGCACGTCATTATCACCCACCGATGGATCGAATTAGGTAACCGAGTTACTGACAAGTCGTTAACAATACTTTCAGCGGTTCGGCTCGCGTTTGTGCAACAGCCGGTGAAATCGCGGATAGACCGGTGGAGATCATTAAATCTGGTGGTAGCCGGAGGGATCGTTTCTTAATCCGGCTGGCTCGTTTGGTCACGGAGTTGATAAATCAATAAAGACGAGTTAATTTTAGTCAGGATCGATTAACACCGTCATGAGCGAGACTCTAATGGTAGTTATTATTTTGTGCGAGTGTAATGGAGGAATATAAATACGCTGCAGAGCTGGCGATGTCAGGCCGAATGGTTTTAAGGCTTTATGGGCTTTCATATTTTTAACAAAATTTAAGCAAAGATTTATTTACTGTATTTACTGTTCTTTCGTGTGTGGTATGCACCAAACTTAATAATCGATCCAAAAGTTGATGAATGGCCTAACCTTTAAAATCCTCTGAAACTCTCTAAAACCCTAACAGAAATGCATTGTAATTTAAAAAAACAAAAATCTTTATTCAATTACAATCTTGCAAACAAGAATATCAATTTAAGAACTGTCTCAAGCTGATCAGATGTTGTATAACGTGAACTTAACTTAAAATCGTGACAACTAGAGGTGCACGAGTACCCTAACCTCTATAATCTCCAAAATCCTCCAATCTGACAACTGTCTCAAGCTGATGAGATGTTGTATAACGTGAACTCAACTTAAAACTGTGACAACTAGAGGTTCACGAGTACCCTAACCTCTGAAATCTCCAAAATCCTCCAAAGCTCTCTGATACTCCAACAGTAATTAAAAAATGTAATTTAAAAAAAAAAATCTTTATTCTATTATAGTCTCACGTGTAAAAATACCAATCTAAAGCTGATTACACATTATACAACGTAAACCCAACTTAAAACCCTAACAACAGACCAACCTAGAGGTTCACGAGTAGAATAACCTCTAAAAATCTCTAAAATCCTCCAAAGCTCTCTGAAACTTCAACAGTAATTAAAAAATGTAATTTAAAAAAAAAATCCTTATTCTATTATAATCTCGCATGTAAAAAATACCAATCCAAAGCTGATCACACGTTGTACAGCGTGAACCCAACTTAAAACCCTAAAAACAGACCAACCTAGAGGTTCACCAGTAGCCTAACCTCTAAAATCTCTAAAATCCTCCAAAGCTCTCTGAAACTTCAACAGTAATTAAAAAATGTAATTTTAAAACAAAATCCTTATTCTATTATAATCTCGCGTGTAAAAAATACCAATCCAAAGCTGATCACACGTTGTACAGCGTGAACCCAACTTAAAACCCTAAAAACAGACCAACCTAGTGGTTCACCAATAGCCTAACCTCTAAAATCTCTAAAATCCTCCAAAGCTCTCTGAAACTTCAACAGTAATTAAAAAATGTAATTTTAAAAAAAAATCCTTATTCTATTATAATCTCGCGTGTAAAAAATACCAATCCAAAGCTGATCACACGTTGTACAGCGTGAACCCAACTTAAAACCCTAA